ATGCAGTTTTCAATTCAGGTGACCCCTTTGTCTTGGGGGATACCCTGCTGTTGTCAAGAGCAGCTGAAATCTTGAGATGATCATTTGGTACTCTTTTTGGTTCCCTTATGCACAGTTTTTCAATTCAGGTGACCCCTTTGTCTTGGGGGATACCCTGCTGTTGTAAAGAGCAGAGGAAATCTTGAGATGATCATTTGGTACTCTTTTTGGGTTCCCTTATGCACAGTTTTTCAATTCAGGTGACCCCTTTTTCTTGGGGGATACCCTGCTGTTGTAAAGAGCAACTGAAATCTTGAGATGATCATTTGGTACTCTTTTTTCGGTTCCCTTATGCACAGTTTCTCAATTCAGGTGACCCCTTTTCTTGGGGGATACTCTGCTGTTGTAAAGAGCAGCTGAATTCTGCCAAAGCTTACCAATGACTTCTTCAACAGGTTAGGATCCAAGTTAAGTTGCTCACCTCCACCTTCTCTTGGACTTCAGGAATGTACTTATCCATGACTGAAATGTAGTTCCTCCCTCCTGCAGTTCATCCTCAACCCTCCATGTGTGTTGGTACAAAAACTTAGTGGGAAGAGCGAGGCTTAGCAGAAATAGCACATTAAAGAAATGCCCGTAGCGAAAAGGAAAAAGAAAATTAGCGCAGGGCAGGCATGACTAGGCCTAGAGTGGGAAGGAGAATAGAAAGGGTTAATTATGTGCCAGGGGGTGTGGAAAAGTATAGCTGGGGGTGCTGGTTGGTAGAGGAAAAGCGTGGGTGGGCTCTGCCGCACCTTAGGGTGGGGTGTCCCGGTGGGGGGGGGCATCAGTTGGAGCTGGACGTTGGTGAGTGAGCTTCCCTCCCGCCCTCCCTATCTCCCTGATGTAGGGAGTATTGTGTTCCTCTCGGGGGAAAAAGGGAGGTTATTTTGGTCTTGGGCAGTTGTTGGTCTTTGGAGGCGGTTCTTATCTTGGAGGTACAGATAATGGTGTGGGAACCATCGGTGGTATGGTGTGCCCGGGGACATTCCAGTTAACCAAGGTTTAACTGGAAGGTGGTGGTGCTGAACTGCGGACGGTATGGTTGTCTCCGAGCTGGTATTGCCTGAGGCCTTGTGTAATATGTTGTCTGCAGGTGCATTTCAGATCATTTTTGTGGGGTGCCTTCGAAGACCAACAACAACTCTGTATGTTTCTGTTATAAGGAATGGTTGGTGTTAAAATGTTTGTTAATAAAAGGCAATGTTGGCCATTTACTCCAAAATTGGTGTCATGTTTTTATTTAAGTATAGACAAAAGGGGGGGGGGGATTTGGATGACCAATCTCTGGTGCTCTAGTCATGAACCACCTTGCAATGTTTTATGTGCTTAGCAAGCATGCTATGATAGCTCACAACTGCTAATGTCCAGCAGCATTTTTTAGGCCTGTCTCAAATGAGTGTGTTGTAGCTCGAAGCTTGATGTTCCAAAATGATGAGAGAATTCGATGCATTTCTATAGACTTGGTTCACACCTCTACTCCTAGTTGTCTGAAGCCAAACGCCTGAAGCTCAAAAACAATTCGGAGCTACTTTTGCAGTTTAATTTGGGCAGATTAGTGCATTTTTAATACTTTTTTTTCCCACGGAAATGCATTGAATCGTGCAACCCACAAGTTTAGGTGTGTTTTTTGCTCAGATGCAATAAAAAAAATCAAACTAAATAGTAATAAGTAAATAAATAATACCAGATAAATAATAAATATATAAATCATAAATTAATTATTATTTATAATAAAATAATATATACAAATACATATTCATAAAATAATATATATATAAAGAAACCTGTGCAAAAAAAAAAAAGAGGGGGGGGGGGAGGTGGGAGTGGAGATGATAAGAAAATGATGGCAACAACAATAAAAAAAAAAAATAATTATATAAAAAAGAAATCGGACTAACCTTTTTTTAGACATCTTGGTGTAATCAAAAACATTTTCTTTATGAGCATGTAGGTCACTGTACATGACCCAGAACTGGCCTCTCTTTTCTTTATCAGATGGATCCAGTATCTCTGTTCCCTACTCCTTTTCCAGAAGGAAATATGACGTAACAGCGGTTGCTACCACAGAATGCTATCTCCTTATCATTCATGTTTGCAGAGCACAAAGCACCACTCAAGACAGCGAACACCAGAAAGAAGAGGAATCAGATGCAAAAGGTTAAAAAAAATAGCAACAAATGATGAAACATGATATTTTTCTCTACTGGCTAATAAAAAAAAACAAAGCTCGAAAACTGTTTAAAAATGCTGTGCAAAAAATGTGCATAAAAATGGTTGAAAAAATGTCCAAAAATGCAATACTCGGGTGTGAATGCAATCTTAATGTGCCCTTACTTTAATGGTTATGGTGCCCTCCTGCAGCATCCCTGACAAGTTACCTGTCTCTGCTTCACTAAGGTCTTCACCGTGTAGCCAGCGTGACACCACAGAACCTATTTTTATAAATTCACACTGTTTGGTTCAGCTACTTTTACTCGACCTTGAGCAGTACAGATTTTTCTTTGGAATTAATGGAAATCAGGACTTGCTTGTGCAGGGTGAGCAGAAACAACAGTTAGGATTTTTAAGACATGATGCAGTGTGAGGGCAGGGGAGTATATGACTTCTCAGGGGTGCTGGATCACAGACAACATTCTGAAATTTGGAACACGGGGAAAATGTTAGATCCTCTGTCAACCTGATACTGGAGTCCAATGACAGTGAAGGTTATTTTCACTTGGCCAAACCTGGGTCTTACCCAATAATGTGTAGAGGGGTTTGAAAAGCCTTGTAAGGTAGTGGTTTATTCATTAGAAATGTCAGCTTAACACATATCTAAAATTAATAGTAGTGCAACTTACTGGTCCTTAGATGTGGTGGCTGCCTTTGTTTTCTTTTTTCATACTTAGACTACACAACACTGTGTTAGGACTACATAACACCTTCCTCTCTTTTTCCCAAAACAAGGGAAGGTGTTTTTATAGTACACAAAGATAGCAAAGAACAATGTCAGCCAATAACAGTGCAGAAGCAGAGAGTCTAGAAAGCCAACTGCTCATAAGATTTGTGACTGGATGAACACCTACTTTTCTGGCACCTATAGAACAGATATAATAAAACTCTTTCAATGGTACACTGAATAGACCAAAATTGAGCAAATCAGAGAAATGTATTGTTAGAGTTTACCGTATTTTCCGGCGTATAAGGCGACTGGGTGTATAAGACGACCCCCTAATTTTCCAGTTAAAACATAGGTTTTGGGCTATACTCGCCATATAAGACTACCCCCCTTCCCAGGCAACACCATTTAAAAACATCTGATTTTTTAATTGAAATGGTTATGACTTAAAATCCTCATGTTCATCCTCTGACATCATAAGTTCATGAATGACATCTTGTGATACATTTGTAAGACAGTCATCATTTGGATCAAATTCCAAACCAGATGGTTACCGTTGGATGTGCAGTAATACGGTAGCTTCGGCTACATACAGTATACAGTATACTGTATATACAGCCCGCTGGATGTGCGGTAATGTACATACAGTATACGGCGCTGAGCCAAGCTGGCTCAAAACAAATGTCCCTATGACAGATTAATCTGTCAGCCCGCTGGATGTGCGGTATATACAGTATACTGAGCCAAGCTTTTTCAAAACGTACCGGTACGTCCCTACGGTAATCAGATGTGTGTATGTACAGTAGCTGAGGCTACATACAGTATACGCTGGGCCAATCACGGCAAGCAATGTTTTCTACTAATGAATACAAAGCCTGCTCGGATTGGCTGAGGTTGTGACATCATCAGCCCACCTCTCTGACTCAGCCAATCCGAGCAGGCTTTGTATTCATTAGTAGAATACATCGCTCGCCGTGATTGGCCCAGTGTATACTGAATGTAGCCGCAGCTACTGTACATACACCCATACAGCGGGCTGACTACCGTAGGGACGTAACGGTACGTTTTGAAACCGCTTGGCTCAGTATACTGTATATACCGCACATCCAGCGGGCTGACAGATTAATCTCTCATAGGGACATTTGTTTTGAGCCAGCTTGGCTCAGCACGGTATACTGTATGTACATTACTGCACATCCAGCCAGCTTGACCCAAACAAACTGAAGGTTCACATTTTATACCCCGCATATAAGACAACCCCCAATTTTTGGGGTATATTTTTTAAGTATAAAAAAAGTAGTCTAATACGCCAGACAATACTGTACATATATTTTCATTTTTCTAACACACTTCTGATTCTGGGTTGAACAAATATAACCAATTGATTCTCACAAGCAGCCAAAAATTATTAAGACATACTATGTTGACTTATTTAGTGAGTGTAACTGAATAGCCACAATCCAGAAAGCAGCTCACACTTACACATACTCATACCATGTGCAGAATCGAAATAAATAAACGTACAGTGCCGCTTTTCCTTTAAATGCCCCAAAACACATGTGAATGCAAACAACTATAAAAATATAATGAACAGTTCTGATTGCCAAGTCTCTTAAATAGTGTTGCTTCTTCGATTTCAAAAAAACCTCATAGTTCTATATCTTCTTAAAACTTAATCCACCACCAAAAACATCAGAGTTAGGTCAAAAAACGCATGTGGACCTAACACATAAAGTTAGGTCAAAAACACATGTGTCCCTTGAAGTGTACATACAATGGCGGTGTGTATATAGAATCTTCCTCCATTAGGGACCGGTCCCTTTAATCCTTCCTCCTCCACTCAGCATACATATGTCAGAAAAAATTAGTAAAACACAATAGTGCTTATCCTTTAACCACCTCCCGCCCGCCATATAGTAATATGACGGACAAAAGGTGGTTCTCTTGTTCTGGGAGGATGTCATATGACGTCCTCCCATTCTCACTGCGCATGCGCGGCTCAGGGAGCGCGCAGCGCGGCGATCGACGGTGCGCTGTGTCCCTCGGACACAGCGGATCACCGATCACAGAAAGAGCCGAAGATGTCGGTTCGGTCATGTGATCAGCTGTGTCCAATCACAGCTGATCAGATGTAAACAGGGAAATGCCGGTTATCGGCATTTCTCTCCTGTAGAGCTATCACGCTGACAGCTCGAGAGGAGAGGAGAGCCGGTAATCGGCTTTCCGCGGAGGGGACATCTACACTGATCATCAGGGCACTGATGATCAGTGTGCCCTGATGATCAGTGTAGCCCAGCAGTGCCACCTGTCAGTGTCCATCAGTGCCTTATGTCAGTGCTCATTAGTGCCTCGTGCCAGTTCCCATCAGTGCCACATATCAGTGCCTACCAGTGCACATCAATGCCACATATCAGTGCCCATCTGAGCTGCCTTTCAGTGTCACCCATCAGTGCCAGTCAGTGCCACCTATCAATGCCAATCAGTGCCACCTATCAGTGCCAGTCAGTGCTGCCTATCAGTGCGCATCAGTGCCTGTCAGTGCCACCTAACAGTGCCAGTCAGTGCCGCCTATCAGTGCCAGTCAGTACTGCCTATTAGTGCCAGTCAGTGCCGCCTATCAGTGCTGCCTATCAACGCTATATATCAGTGTCATGTATCAGTGCTGCCTTTCAGTGCCCATCAGTGATGCCTGTCAATGGCAATTCCCTGATGTATGGTATCAGTGTATCGGCAAGCTGCGAGCATCGTGACTTCATCAAGCCCCTCCCCTATGCCTTCGCCACAGGGTCACATGGCTTCCTCACGGGATATGATTGGGCACCACCATGCTCTAAGAGTATATATAGCCGAACCTGCAGCCATTTTCTTGTAGCCCAAGTGTAATCTACATCCGCAAGTTAAACCTAAAATTGATATATACTCCCTTCCCGGACAAATCAATCTGCAGATGTATGAAGCTTAAACCTCACTATTACCCTGTATATTCAATTCAATTACAATATCGCACTGGTAATTACAAGTAAATAACATGCAACTATATTAAAAAAACAAATATAATAAAAAAAATAGCCCCATATACTGTAAATCAGTAGGTCATCAGTAAGCTAGTACATGTGTGTAACACACGGTACTGACTTGATATACACAACCAACAATATACATATCAAAATTATAAATACTAATTATATAACAACCACCATCATTGGGAATTATTGATACATCCCATAAAGAATCTACAATGATGAACATGAGTTATATTAAAAAAATTAATATACATATACTCTACCCATGTAGCCAACCGTTGGTAATCTCATGACGTAAGTTCAACAATGAACCAACTGGGGTCAAGTGTACGATCTTATTAATAATTGCTCAAAAATCTGGTGAGTTCAAATTCAGCATTTACACCACTGGGAATGATTGACCCTAATTCATATATCCATCATGATTCTTTTTTGCTCAATTCCCTGATCTTATGGTCCCCTCTTCAATGTTTTTAATATGTGTCTACCCCCCAAAACTGTAATTGACTATAATCCCTTTGATGGACCAACCTAAAATGGTTAGATAAATGATGTAAATAAATGATGTTTCTTATAGCCTCTACCTATATTGTATACATTAGCAAAGGTATACGAGCGCTAAGTAGTAAGGGAATAAGCAGCTGACATAAAGGCAAAATCCTCTATACCTTCCTAAATACAATCATAGATATGCAGCGCTAGAAGTTAAACACACAGATAATGGAAATTGGTATAACAGCGCTGTAGAGTGCTACAATTGAAATCATGTGTAATAGGCGTCTAAGGACGTTACAATTGTGCAGATGGTGAACTCCAGTAATAGAATGTGATAAATCAGCATATAGGTCTCCAAATCTGTAAAAAGGTGCAATTCGTGACTCTGGTGATGTGTATATAGATGTAGATTGCACTAACCAAATAGCACAAACAAATGCGCATTTGAGTATTTAAACCACTCCTGGTCCTCTGGTAACAGAAGGATGAACATCCACAGCTCAACTGGCCAACCGCAGCAGGACAAGTAGTTGCAGGGTCATCTGCCTCCAGGGATCAGGAATCACTCAGCCATCCACCACGGGGATCACACTCCTTGTACCATGGTATCATATATAGCCACCAGGGGGACCTCTTTCCAAGGCAGGTACAAACAGCAGCAAAGTCCACCTTGAAGGGGGGCTCACAATCAAACGAGCCTTTCCTGGTCTGTCCCTCTGCTGACAACTGATTACCAAATTATCCCAAACTCAGCTCAGCTCTCAGGATGCCACATCCGCTGTTACCATAATTGTGTTAGTAGAGACACATTGTGTTATTGATACACTGTTGTATGTGCGTGTTTCCATCCCAGGCAGGGGTGGACTGACAACTCATGGGGCCCCCAGGCAATAGGGGATCATGGGGCCCATGTGTCCCTTTGCCCAAACTCAAAAAAACCTATGAAAAAGGTACCAGGGGCATCTCATGGGGCCCCCTACTGGCCCTGGGCCCTCGGGCAGTGCCCAAGTTTCCAAATGGTCAGTCCGCCCCTGATCCCAGGATAGGAAGACTAGCAGGATCACCAGGATAAAGGCACAAAAAAAAAACCTGAAAATGAAAAGCAATGCAAGCAGTATGTCTAAGGACTGGTAGGCTGCAATATATTACATTTTTGTTCTTCAGCCTTCCCTTTGGTCTTGCACAGTTGTACAGGTTTATGTCTCATATTGAAACTTTTGTGAGAATCTAAGAGTGTGCATTAGAAGCTGCACCAAGTCAAACAGAGTCTGTCTTATTTCCTGGCTGGAAAATGTCAGCCCCTCACATTGATTGAATTTGGGTTCTTTCATGGAGGCTCAGCAATATGGTTGGGTGCAGGGGAGGACTGACAACTCATGGGGCCCCCGGGCAAGAGGGGATCATGGGGCCCCTGTGTCCTTGCCCAAACTCAAAAAAGCCTATGAAAAAGGTACCAGGGGCATCTCATGGGGCCCCCTACTGACTCCGGGCCCTCGGGCAGTGCCCGAGTTTCCAAATGGTCAGTCCGCCCCTGGTTGGGTGTTACCTAGGGTGGTCTACAGTACAAGCAAATGCAGCCTGCATAGGAGTTCCGTTGTCCCAGACTGACATCTACCCATTAAAGCATTTTGATATTTGCATATCTCCTTCCACAAGCCTGCCCACTTGTAGAAGTGGAAACTTTTGGGGTCTATTTACCTCCTTGCTGTGTGTTAAGCTGCGTTAGGGTGCCAACATACCCTAAAGTGCTGAAAATTGGACATGACCCTTTTTTTGTTAAAAAAAAAAGTGGATTGCAGTGTTCTGCTGCACAGGTGCATTGTCTTGATAAGTTTGGGTGCCATTGTAAATGAATAGCTCTCAGTAATATTTGTCATGTGCATTACAATGTGTTGCGGTAAAGCACATGAAAATGCATGTGTTATCATGATGTGTTAGTGTGAATGGACCACTAATATTGCTCACTGAGCTACTTAGGTGAAATTTCCTTTTTTTGGCACAAGAGCAGGTCCATAGTTGAGCATAAAAGCCCATCACACCCTTAAAAAAACAATAAAAGATCACCTTTATTTTATCTACTTATTTTATCTTTCCTGTTGACTCCAACGCACTTCACTGATTTTCTCAAACTCATTCATCCCTAGCTTTGATCTGCCACCAGAGCTGGGAGAAATCTAGTACTTCTAGGTATAAAGGAACGCATGACACTGCCTTCCCACAATGCAGCATTTGGTGCCTCTGCTCAAGTGTTCCATGATGGAGATGGGGTATAATACAGAGAACTGTGTTTGGCCTTGTTTAGTAAGTACACATTTTACACAGGACTCTTGGGTAGCAGGTGGCACATCTAAATGGTGGTTGAGGGTGGGAAAGGTAAAAACATACCCTTTAAGGTACCTACGGGAAAATTAACCTGTTACATTCCCAGTATGAGCAAGGTACAGGTTCACTTTAAGAAATAATTTCAGGACCCTACATATCTCCACCAACCTCACAGATGCACCCATCCATCTTGTGTTCAAAGGTTAAGGAGAAAAGTCATTTATTTAAATAAAATCATGAATATCCAATCAATACTTTTCATTAGAATTTAATTGATCAATCTTGTGTGCAAATCAGTAGTAAAGTCTCCTAGTTATTATGCGAAGCGGTGAGGTGAGTACATTTATGGGTGAATAACTGGTTAAATGGGAGCTCTCATGCAAACATACATTAAGGCTGTTTTACCTTCATTGGCATAAAAAAGACTCTCTCCACTAATAAAGTAATTGCAATGTTTAAAGGGAATGCGAAGGACTTCAAGGAACCATTCATCATTTTCACTCAACGGTGACGTGTTTTAAAATATTCAAGAGGAAAATCCACACTAAGTGAAAAAAAGCATTTTGATAAGTGCTAAGTGCGCCTTCATAAAAAGTTATTATCAACCGCAGCTAAACATAAATTTCAAGCTGATTTATCCTTTTTTTTAAAAAAAAAAGTTTTTCAATAGCTTTCAAAGGTAAAGTGTAAAAGTTTCAGTTGCTGATCCAAGCTCAGAATATATAAACGTAGATGTATTAACACAAGATTTTTTAACTCACTTATTATTTCTTGTCCTGAAAACCAATCGAATATACAATCCTTAATTTTAATGAGAACCAGTAATGGGAAAGCTTAGTTAAGAATTTGAATAACCAATCCTTTTTTATAAGTATAAATTAATTGTATTTGTTCCTGTATTTATACTATACTGTCAAGTATTTGTGGAAACCCGGCCAAAACATCTATATGAGCTTGGGCATTAACAGGAAGGTGACACCCTACTTTTAGTCTCTAATAGCCTCTACTTTTCTGAGAAGGCTTTCCACATATTCGGCTGATGGGGAAATTTCATATTTCCTTGTTAATGCGGAGTTCCAGCTGAAAAAAAAAATAAAAGTCAGCAGCTACAAAAACTGTAGCTGCTGACTTTTAAAATACAGACACTTACCTATGCCTCGGTCCAGCGGTGTCCTCATCACCGCTGGTTTCACCGGCCGTCTTCTCTCCCCGGCTCCGGCATCTTCAATGTGGGCACCGTGCTGTGACAGCTTGCAGCTTCACAGCTGGGTGCCTACTGTGCATGGGTGAGAAGTCACGTGTCCCAGAAGACTATGGGGAGGGAGGGGGGAGGACAACTTCCGCTTCTGATTGCCTAAGCAATCACAGCGGAAGTGGGAGCGGGTACCTGTCAAATTCGGGTACCAGCTCCCCAAAGGTGCCACTCCTTAACCTCCCTGGCGGTATGATTATTTCCGATTTTTTGTGCTGAAAGCGGTACCATTATTTTGCATGGAAATATGTAGTTTTTTTATTGTAGGCTGTAATTTTTAGGAATAACTCACTGAAATCTGTCCGGACAAGAGTCTATTAAACATCCCGGGTATGATAAAATTTGAAACACGAAATCATAAATTATAATTTAATAAATAATCATAAAAAATAATAATATAATAATAATACATTTAATTCAATAATATAATCAACCCAAAAACACTGAAATTTGAAATATAGCGCCAAGTTCGCACATCACTGAGCAAAGTCGCAGAATCGTTTTCAGTGTCTGATGACGAATTTCCCCA